AAAGTTGGTGCTAGTTCATTATTCTCAGAAAATTACATTTTCTACCAAATTAAATTGATGACCATTAAATGTCATTGGGCTTAAAACTGTTTAAGAAAAGTACAAGTGCGTTCAGTTTCTATGTAAATGAAAGGCTTTTACAGTGCATATAAAAAGCGGAAACATCACCTAACATTTGGCTTTTCCTGCCGTGAAAAGCCAAGTGTTAGTTGATGCTCCTGAGGAAAAGTACAATTAACACAAAGAGCTGTTGCTATACACCGACTTCTATTCTGATAGAAAAAGTGTTGTTGAGTCCATTAGTCCAATCAAAATCTATATGGTAGCTGATCAATTTTAAAAGTCCCTAATTTTTTTTTGAAGTAACTGGATATCACAACTTCCTGTCTGAATAAGTTCAAAGGATTCCAAAAAAAAGAGAAAGAAACCAGCAGGGTTGGGATTTTAATGGCATGCATACCTCTGTTTAAGCAATCCCCAAATGTCATCACAAAAAAGGCCTTCAGTAATTTACATGTCTTAAGTTTTTTTTTTTTTTTTTGCTAAGATGACACTAATTACTGCAAGAAAATTCCTTCAAAACTGCCTGAAGAATACTCAACTTGCTTTCAAACCATAGTTTGGATGGGGCAATATGCATGTAACCATATATATTTGGTGAAGGGTGTGTGTGTTTCAGGAGCAGATGTAGTTTTTGTTCAGTTATGCAGTGCACATAAACCTTAAAATCCAAAACAAGACAGCAATAATTAACATTCTGCAAAAGAATTGGATGATCTGCTAATCACAGTTTCTGACTGGTTAGACATTTTTGTTCCTATTGTATGAGTTATTTGCATTTGGGCCTGGGTTGATGGCACCAATTTCACACTGAAGCCACTTCATGATTTCAAACTAAATAAGTTACTTTATCTGCACATTTCTAGATCAATTAATTTAGGAATCGATAATGAAATGTTTCCTATTTTAAAATGAATGTTGATTTGTTATGTAAGATACTTAAAACCAGGAGTGCAGCGAGAAATCAACCAGCTGATAAATCGCCCCAGATATCCTTAATTTTGGAAGATCGTTGATCGGCCGATACTTACATGTGAAGCCGATCTTATCTATCTCAGCAAAGGTCTTAAAATCAATGACAGTCTTCTTTTGCTCTGCTGTAACAGAGGTTTGACTGACAGACCCGCCCACCACGTCATGTCTGCTGGTTGACACGACATGTACCCCCTAGTTTTAAGTTTGCAATTAGTGATAGTCACCCCACTGTTGCCAACTGAGCGACTGTTTTTTAAAACATGCATCAAATTTTTAGCACTTCATTAAATTAGAAAAATAAATCTCTCATCTTTAAATCATCACAACTGCATTGCGATATAATCTACAAATGTTAAGATTATCCTAAAGCAAAGATGAGAGAATTGAATACGTTTGGCATTCTTAATCCTTATTTTATTTGATTAGTTTATAAATTTCAATGTGTGAATTTCATAAAATGCTGTCTGTAGGAATGATTCATTATGTTTCAGCTTACTTTAAATGGTAAAAAAAATAGTTATGTAAACTTTGAAAACATCTGAAAAGGTTTTACATGGGATATTCTGGACTTACAATTACATAAATTACAGGAGACTTAGCCACTCGATTTTCCTCATCATTAAAAAATACAATAAAAATGGCAAATATGACTTTCAATCTTCGAATAAAGTTTTTTTTTTCGTCTTTGCAGTTGAACCTGGCTTGTATCCCTGTGGCACAACTTATATTTAAGTGATGGTCTTTGTCATCTGACCTCATTCAAGAATCAAGAAATGTATCTACACTTGTTTAAATCCAGTTTTCCTATACATGTCATTGTACTCGATATAGGCAGTTACAGCTTGCCGTTATATCACAAACATAATCGACTAATAAAACACATTTAAACTTACATTGAATTCGCTGATTTTAAACTCCACCATAAAGTCAACACCACATGATTATCGATAACGAAGGCTCTTAGGGGGAGTTTCCATTTGGGCCTCGGTATTTTTTTCGACGTAGTTTGGCCTGGGACGGAGAATTGTCAAAAACAGATCATAACTATCCTTCAGAGTAATCGCATAATAAATAGCCTTACAATAAAACTAAATGTTAGAGAAAATACGCATTAAATTATCCGTTTGTAAGCAAGTTTCGGACAAGGCCTACAGAAAACAGTAATCATATCTGGCTAGCTTAGCAATACAGCTAGCTAGCAGCCAGTTGGCCTTAGCGACATACTTTATGAGACACTTTAACCATTCATCCAAAAGCACGTAGTCTTTAACATCTCAGCAAAACAGTTACGTAATGTGTTAAATATTCTCCGCGTTGTGTTACATAACGTCCTTGACAAATAAAAAGCAGACACTTCAAGAAAAAAGAGAGCACAGCTATCAGTTGAATACAAGGTTATAGCTAATGTAAACAGTTAGCAACTTTAGTGGTACCAAGCTACTTTCGAAACGCACTTCGAAAAGCTCACAAAGTTAACAGTCGTATCCTTATTCTATTCATAAAATACACATCAAACATACCTTGTGGACATGTTAAACATCAGCCAACATCCAAATGTATAATAGAAACGCAGTTGACGCAGTTCAGGGCTTTCCCGTGTCCTTTTCCTGGAATAATAAAAACATAACGTCACTTCCGCAAAGTGTCTGCGATAAAATGTGTTACACACCCGGCCTACCTACACATTATTTAGCTGTTTTCTTATATTGAAACACACTGTTTAAGCATTGTTATACACTACATGACATTTGTCATTTGAACTGAATATTAATACTTCCCCAAAATATGTCCTTTTCTGAATTTCTAAGAACATTTATTGTTCAAATTGGTCTTAGGTAACTGGTGCAACATAGCTGATTTCTTATTCCATTCCTTCTTTAAGTTGTCATGTTTGTTTTTTGTTGCTGTTTTTGTTTTTTGTGTGTGTGTGTGTGTGTGTGTGTGTGTGTGTGTGTGTGTGTGTGTGTGTGCGTGTGCGCGCATGCGCGTGTGTCTGTGTGTGTGTTTATATCTCAGCCAATTTTAAAGCCACTTTTTTCTTGTTACAGACAATCAACAAGGGGATATCCAACATTTCAGGGCTTTCCTAGCCAAGCATTTTGAGTCAAAGAGCAGGTCTTTCACAACACCTGTGTTTAAATGCAAACAAAATTGCCTCAAAAAATAATTCTTGAATAGAAGAACTGTCTGCGACAGACTGGCGACCTGTCCAGGGTGTACCCTACCTCTCGCCGAAACGTTCGCAGGAGATAGACACCTGCACTCCTCCCAACCCCACTAGGGTCAAAGGTGTACAGAAAATGGATGGATGGCTGGATGTATGGACGGACGGACGGACGGATGGATGGATTGATAGAAGAACTGTGTAATCTGTAATGAAGACTGTCAGCCTTTATTTATTTATTTATTTATTTATTTATTTATTTCAACTTAGGAGTTCAATTTTTTGCTTAGGAATTTATCAATATACAATTCTCACCTGCATCTTCTATACAGAAATTGCTTACAAAATATAACAGATCATTAAAGCTTGTTAAAACCAAATTAGCAAAGAATTACAGTTCAGTATGCATGTGATATATTCCCCTTTATTTTCACAGGGTTTTCACACAAAAATGAACTGGAAAATGAATGGTGAGAAGTGGAAGGTGTAATAATGACACACCACTCTTGTCAGAGATGTATTTGTAAAATATCTATAATTTTTAATAAATGTAATCAAATTCCTCTCACCTTGTTCTGTGTTGGTATATCACATTAGATTCCCCAAAAAATACATCGAAATTTGTGTTTGTGATGTGACAACAGGAGAAAAAGTTCAAGCGGGTTAAGCAGAACCAAAGCGCTAAGATTGGTATCTCACCACTCATCTTCTCTCTTTACACAAATAACTATATCTCAGTCTGTGAACTCCTGAAATTGTCAGGTGACACCACTGCTGATCTAACTCAGGGCAGTGATGAGCCTGCACACAGCCAGGAGGTGCATTGATTAGTCCTCTGGTGTGGTCAGAACCACCTGGAGCTTACCCTGCTCAAGACAGTTGAGATGACGGTGGACATCCAGAAACACTCTTGTCACTCCCAGCCCTCACCATCCTCAACAACCCTGTGTTTACTTCAGATCCCCTCTGGCCACTATAGGAACCACCCTTTCTTGCAAAGTAACTAAGTTGGACCACACACAAAGTCACAGTTCAGAAGAATGCCCAGCAAAAAAATATATACTTCTTGGAGCAACTCAATTTGATCCTCAATTGAAATCCCTGCGGACCCCAAGCATCATGGACAGAAACTGTATGTATGTATGTATGTATGTATGTATGTATGTATGTATGTATGTATGTATGTATGTATGTATGTACATATGTACATACATACATGAACATATGTATGTACACACATATGCATATTAGCTATATATATATTTTAGCTATCTCTAAAATGTATTTTACATGTTTTTCTGTCAAAAATTCAGTGTAGTTGTCTGGGTGTATGTGACAGTGACAGAAATTTTGAATTGTACTTTTGCTGTCATTTAATAGAAATCCAACACTAAGGACAGGGTTTGCAAATTGGTCTGCGTCTAGAAAACCTTTGCACAAAATAACAGTTGCTCTGTTTTTCACATGTAATATTAATTAATGTGCTGTCCTTAATTAAAAAAAAATTGAATTGAATTGAATTGAATTGAATTGAATTGAATTGAGAGCAAATCGGAACCGAAGTAAAACAAAGTTAAACAGAATAAAAATACAACGGGTCCTTATTCTGATTATTAATTTGATCTCAGCAAAAAATGATGCTGATCTCAGAAAAAACACACAACTCCCACCACCTGCAGGAAAGAAACATTGTAGTGACGTAGTACATCCTAAACCCTCCCCTGGTGCTCATTGGCTGAAAATGTAGGGCCGTGCTGCGTAATCCTGTTATCTGGTTGGACAGACCAGCTGTCTTTCATGAACGTACGTTTACGTCACCCTTAAGGTCAAGAGGAAAGAAGCATGGCCGCTGTGCTGAGAGGTTCTCTGTGCCTAGTAGGACGGTGTCGGAAACATGTTGACATTGCGTGCGGTACGGAAAGTTAATTAATAAGACTTTGTACATTTGTGCTGTCCTATTCTACTTTTTTTTAAAAAGCAAAGCAGTTAAATGAAGGCTATTTGCGACACAACAGTGGTTTACCTTGACATGTTTTGGGTAAAGTTCGGGATAATTTCCGCTGGAATTATTGTATCTGCTGTTCTACGACCTTATTTTACAAATTAAATATCGCGTTTTTGTTCATATTTAACTATTAGACTGTTTAGGAAGGTTAGTACTAGCATTTCTTGGTTTTAAAAGACTATGTGATAGAAATCGTCTACATTCCATCATGTGTCCTACTGTTGTCAGATAATTTCTTAGAATATTTTGTTGTCAGTAGCATAATTCGTAATTCTATACAAGAGGTATCAAACATGCGCGGTATTAATTAGCATAACATGGGATTTTGTGCATCTTAATATTTACCCATTTCATAATTTTGTTACAGTTTTCACACGGTCCATGGCCTCAAAAACACACGTAGGGTTTGTTGGTCTGGGAAATATGGGAAACCCAATGGCAAAAAATCTGCTGAAGCATGGCTATCCTATTATTGCAACAGATGTATTCCCAGAATCCTGTAAAGAGGTGCAAGAGCTGGGTGCTCAGGTAGTGTATGCTGAATATAGACTTACATTCATATTTCTGTATATATATTTCTGTGACATGTTTTGCAACATTAAATGTTTTTACTTTTGTTGTACAGATTGTAGACAGTCCTGCAGAGGTTGCAGAAAAAGCTGATCGTATTATTACCATGCTTCCCTCAAGTCCTAATGTCATTGATGTGTACACGGGACCCAATGGCATTCTCAAGTACAATTTAATTTCTCTTTAAATGTTTGCGCTAAAGATCACTTGGTCTTACAATGAATTAATCTAATTTATTTATTGTTTTTCTCAACAGAAAAGTAAAGAAAGGATCCCTCCTGATTGACTCGAGCACCATTGATCCGTCTGTTTCTAAAGAAATGGCTGCGGCTGCTGAGAAGTTGGGGGCAGTTTTTATGGATGCACCTGTATCAGGAGGTACATTTCAAACAGATTTTTCTCTTTTTAGTTGTGTAAAAAATATCAAAGTCACTGTGCAGCTGTTTAGGAAAGTTGGTACTAGTATTTCTAGTACTAGCTAGAAATACTAGTACTAGAAGCTGACTCAGGTCAGGTATTTCACACAAGCGATTTGCACACAAGCAGCTTGAAATATATGAAGTGGTCTTGATCCAGACACAATTATTAGGTTAAGAGGCTGGTAGGATATGTCATTTTTTGTTTTTACATTTAAAGAAGAAACTGACAACCATTTCAGTTTAATTATATTTATTTTTTCATATAGAATTGTTATTTTACCACAATTTCTTTTAAATAAACAGATATGTAGACATGCATAATCTGTTAGCATGGAACTGAATTTTCAGTGCTGTAATTTGTCAGGTCTCTCTTAATTGAAGGAGACCAAGACCGACAAAGCACACTGTAAAACATATGAAGATACTGAATGAAATATGTGTTGTGAAAAAACAGACAGACACCTGTTTGGACATAGCTGCTTATTAGGTGGACCTAATTCTCCTGGAGTTTACAAATGGGCATAACAGAAATTTGGTTTCAAAATAACCTTCTTCACATACCTGGTATTGTTCTTCAGCCCCAGTCAGCTTCATCTTCATTTGCATATCCTGTGTAGTTCCTCAATGTTTTTTTGTTTTTTTTAACCGCCTCAGTGGTGATGGAAGCTGAGTCAGGCCAGATATTTCACACAAGCGATTTATTGGCAACATTTGTTATTTGGTCCCTTGGATTTATGTTACTGGATGAGTAAAGTCGGTAATTTTGGAAGAATGTGTACAGCACCAACTGGATGGGGCAACCTGCAGCACATAAATATACCAAGAGATTTTGAAGAAACTTCCCAGCCAAGGGTAAACGCATAAAATGAAGTTCTTGGAGCATCGACCACAGCACCTGCACACTCGTAGCTCGCACATGTTCCCACATTTTATGCCTACATGTTGCCAACTGAGACACGCCCATCTTGGCTAGAACCAAAACAGACATAAACCTGCTAGAGCGAGACTTGATGATGTAGAAAGCGTCAAATATCCATTATCTAGGTAGCTGCAGAGTAACTATAAGTCACGTAACATTTGAATTTTCGTCAAACAGTCTTTGTCAGTGGTTTAAACATAATGTTATTCTTTTGTTGTGATGGGGGGTTTTTTATGTGGAATGATGCCACTTCTGCACAAAAAATGTTTTTCTGATACTTTTGGGAGACTACACAGGGAAATAAGTTCTCAATGAGTCTCCAAAATTATGTGATAATGTTGTGTCAAAGAACTTTGAGTGATTCACAAATTTAGAAAATGTTATGTACTTGGTGTCTTGCAAAAATGTTGGTACTCCTTTAAACATGTATATGCTGTCACTTTACAACCACACATTTTCATTTGTTTCACTTTGATCTTATGTGACAGACAAACACAAAGTAGTACATTGCTAATTGAAGCTGAAGGAAAATAATGCATAGTTGTAAGTCTTTCAAAGAAATGTGTGAAATGGATGTGTATTTAGCCCCCTTAAGTCTTGTACTTCAAACAAAATATAGTACAGCCACTTCAGAAGTTATCTAATGAAGACCTATAGTCCACCTGTGGGTAATTCAGTCTCAGAGTAAATAGAACAATTATATTAGGACCTCAGGTATTTTGTAGAGAACATTAGTGACGTAACACCATCAAATCAAGGAACACTCCAATCAGGTCTGGGATAAAGTTGTATGGAAAGTTAGCTTGGGGCTATAATATGAAATAACATCTTACACAGCCTTGTTCAGTCAACTATTGGACATAGAAAGGGGCATGGTACAGCTGCAAACCGACCATGTCTTGACGTCCCACCTCAACTGACAGGCATGGATAAGGAGAACGTTAGTCACTGAAGCAGCCGAGAGCTTTGGAGAACATGTTAACAGGACAACTATTTGTTCTGCACTCCAAAAATCTGACCTTTATCAAAGAGTGGCAAGAAGAAAGCCATTGTTAATAGAAATTGAAGACATGCAGGCAGTTTGCAGAAGCCATGTAAGGGACACAGCAACTATTTAGTTGTAAAAGTGTTGAAGGCTATTAAAACCTTTTGAATTGCCTTGCTGCTGAAGATGTGCTAGACAAATAAAATTCCCTTACTTTGCTTTGATGTGACTGATAACGGAGGTTACGGCGGAGCCACACTGAAGCTGACAATTTGAACAGAAACAAGGAAGAACCTAATCTGCAAATGTAGTCGATTCAGCTCCTGCTGAATATATTTACATTAACTAAATCCTTGTTCACACTGTAGAAAATGTTTTGTCTTTGCCAGATCCATATTTATCTGTAAAACATTTTCAAAAACAACAAATGATTGTTTCAAGGCAGCCTATTTTAGAGTAGGATGACCTTTAAATGTCCTTTGGTAGATTTAAATTTTTTCTGTATCTGCAACAAATTGAAAAGCAAATGAAAGCTTTTTATTTGCTCCAGGGTTTCCCCTATCATTATCCAGGGATGTTACCCGATTGCAATTTTCAGGCCGATATCTAAAAAACCTGACTGATTTTAGCCTACACCGATTTGTTTCTATAGATATAGCAGCATACTTTCAAAGTTGGCAATTGTAGATTGACTATTGATAAATTGCAGCCCTCTCTCAGCCCCTTGTTGTTATAGAAAAGATTGGTGGATAAGATCGGCTTCACATGCAAGTATTGACTGATCGCCGATCACCCAGAATTAAAGACATTGGGGCAGATTGATCTGCTCACCCCTAACAATCTATCCGCTGTCAGTGCAGTATTCCTTTTTTTAAAACACTGCTCTGGTTGCAAACATAGTTTCTTATGTTTAGAACCCAAGTAAATCAAAGGTACCATTATCTATAAAGGATTTTGACATTTATATTGTTATCCTGTCTACTGTTTTGCCAAAACTGGGATGTCACACTTCTAAATATTCTTTTTTTTTTTTTTTTTCTAAATGAGGACTGAGTTGTCCTCTACTCACTGGCTGCCCAAATGAAATAAAATATGATCATATTGTGATTTAATTTTTGCTCTAAATTAGAAAGTATCCCATGCCTTCAAAAAAAATTGCAGTATCAAGAAAGGATATTAGTATCTCTGACAAGTTTGAAATGTTATTATTGTGACAGCCTTACATGTACATGCATTTAAATCAGGGTAGACGGCACAGTAATTTTATGTCCTGACATAAATCTCCAGTTCCCATGGCTGCTTTGTCTTGTCAGAGTAGTCTCTTTATGTTCAATTGAGGTTGGTCTGTTTTATGGCTGGCCCCTGAAGATTAGTAAAAATTTATATCCTTCCTTCCCATGATGGCCCACATGAATTGGCATTTTTCCTCCAAAGGTCTGTTTGTGGTGGTGGTGATTTAACCACTGGAAACTAAACTGCATATACTTGCATCAATCCCAAGCGTTTGGTCCTTTTTAATAAAAATGTTTGAACAACTCAGTCTGTCACTCAGCGATTAAAAGAAATACAGTGGCAGTGGTTAAAGCTCAGACATAAAAGCACATGTGGAAAGAAGAGACTGCTATAATTAAATCAACATGTGTCTTAAAGATGTTTTTTGTTTCATGTTTAGTAGGCAGCTGTCTTTTTTCTGTTGTCGAACATAGCTGGTAAAATAAGTTTTGAACACGGCTCCAATTTTCTAAGTAAGTAAATTTCTGAAGGTGCATTTGACATAAAATTCTCAGCACATGTTGGTAACAACCCATCCAGCCCACACATGCAGACGAATAAACCGCAGATTCCCACAGATTATGAATTAGAATCTGGAAAAGATTGAACACATGAAGAAAAATAGGTGGAAAATGGCATTGAAAGTCCTGACCCAAGCTGAAATATATCGGTAATCAGAAATCCTGTCACTTAGTGCAAATGAATATCATTTAATATTAGTGGGGCCATAATCTGGAAGTGGAAAGAATATCATAACACCAAATATCTGCCCACTACCATGTGCTCCCCACGAGATTTAAAGAGAGGGGTGAAAAGAACCATTTAAAGAGTTGAGCAAGAGACAAGTATCATTTGTGGAGAGCTCTAGAAATAGCTGAAATTAGTAGGTACAATAGTTTCAAAGGAAAAATAAGCAATGCACTCAGCCACCATGGCCTGTACGCATGCTCACCACAGACTTCACTGCTGAAGAAAAAGTATGTTGAAGTGTGTGTAAAGTTTGCTGAACAACATTTAGACAAGCCTGTGAAATACTGGGAGGACAGAGTTTGGTCAGATAAGAGAAACAAACTCTTTGGATATTAAAATACACACCATGTATGTTTGGAGGTCAAAATGCACCGCAAACTATCCCAAAAACACCCCGCCAACTGTAAAGTTTGGAAGTGGGATTATTATATTATTATAGTATGGACCTGCTTTTTGACGCACTGCACTGGGAGAGAGTTCATATAATTGAAGTGGTATGACTTATTTGCATTTATGGACTCAACGGGTTGTTGCTGGTGATGATTTCATGTTTGTTGCACCTTAGGAATATTTTCCTAAGGTTGGGAGGTTATGAGAGGTATAGATCATGTCTTAAATACTTATCCTACCTTGTGTGTCTACTTTATAACATGTAGTTGCTATAAAATGACAGAGGCTGAAGATGGTAAAAGGGATCATATTATTCATTTTGTTCTGCCAAACATATAGATTCATATATGTTTGGGAGACAGTCATGTTGAATGTACTTTCTTGAAAACTCTAATAACTAATTAAATTGACTAAATTACCTATTTAACAAGGCCACCAAACAGGTTAGCAGTTTTCCATGACTCCATTGTAGCTTCTGTACCAGACTTCTAACATTTGCATCGCCACATGAGAAAAATATTTTATGTCGGAATATCTCTAATGTTCACAGTGTAAATATTTTACCCTTAGACTTTAAATGAAGGTGGCCGTTTCTTCAGAAAAAAAACAAAACAAAAAAACTAAAACACTTACATCCGTGTCAGTCCCTTTCTTTCTTTGAGGTTAGTCCGTTTTATAGTAGGACTCTACAACTATAATAAAGATTTATATGCATATTTGCCCATGATTGTGCACACTGGATTTAGGTTTTCCTGTTTCTGTCTTGATCAGCTGTGTGCTGCAGTAGGAGTTTAACATCTGCAAATCATACGTTGATAGTCCCATCAATCACAAGGTTGTACATCTTCTACATAAAACGGCACATTAAGCCTTTTCCAGGAGAACTGGTGCAACCCCATGCCATTTGAGTACATTTTGGACTTGCTGTTACTACTTTGTCTTTTTTCCCCCTGTACAACTGATTCCTTTAAGGAAAATAAGATTAATTTGACCAAAAGACGGATTGTGTTTTTTATTTTTTTATATTTTTTTTTTTTCAGGCGCTTTTGAGTCCAAAAACACAATCTATGCTACTTTTCTTTTAAGGCTAAGTCTTTCTGGAATTTAAATCAGGGATGTCGCCATAATTTAGTTTTTGCTTTTTTTTCTCCCTATTACCAATTAGAGTGAATCAAGATTGTTTTCTCATGACTCATTGACCATTTGGAAACTAAGCTTACTGATTTAATTGTAATTTATTTTCCAGATTCTTTCTGTGGAACTATTGCATCAGAAATCTGATTTATTCTAGTTTCTCTTGTATCAGAACATTTCTTTAGTGTGCTTTTCATACCTGCTAGACTTTGACAGTGTGAAATGTTCCAACTCTTCATTTATTGTGCCGTTACTGACTAAACTCTTGCATTTGGATATATCTCGATTCATTTGTAGAATCTGATGGGTTTTTTTTTGTTAAATGTAGATGTTGAGGATACACTCTGAAGCTGCAGTTGATCCTCCTCCTTTTATATGCGTTGCCTTCTGCAACACTTAGCTCATTGTTTCTGTCCATTAATGCAAGATGCTTCGGGCAGTCTTTGTCTGAGGATTAGGGAAGGGGAAACTTTTAACACTCACCTTGGCACTTCTCCACTGGCTTCCTGTAAACTTAAGGATTAATTATAAGACTGTGCTGGCTAAGTCTTTGGGACCCATATGTTTTGCACCTGGTTATTGTATAGTGTCAAGATTTTAACCCTGTATGAACCTGAACCAGAACCAGCTGTTCCTGCATCTAAATGAAAAGCAGCGTGAGAACAGACAGTCAGATTTTCTTTTCATGCATCTGTTTTTTTCAGGGCTTCCACCGACTGCACAGACTGCACAACTGCTTAAAAAAATGGTTTGAGTCACTGAGTCAAACCATTTTTCTATAGTGTGTGTAGGTGTGTGTTTGTGTGTGTGTTTTATTGGCAATGACTAAATCTAAACTCAATAATTGAGATTGAATTTGGATCATAATCTTTAACTTCAGTTCATGCATGCATGTGCATCTGTGCTTACAAATGTTACAAAAATGTTTTTCAGTTACTGTCATACTTGGACTTATTGGCAACATGTAGTTATACTGCATTATAAATGCATTATAAATAAGCATTTATAATGCTTATTTTACTAGCATTATAAATGTAAAAGTATTTCTGTTTTTAAAATAAAATCGTTTTAATTTTGTTGTAAGATTCTCTTATCAGCTATTTTTCTTGGTCAGTTTTTGTTTTATAGTAGAGGATTGTTTTATTCTGAAAAATCCACTGTCTGGAAGAGACATGTTTTTTTTCTTTCTTCTTTTTAGATTAAGACATTTTTGCACAGTTTGTTTTTCTCTGTTTTCTGTAATGCATATTTTCAATTTTTTTTCTCTAGCACATTACAAAATTGTTGGATATGACTCTATAACTGGCTAATAGATTAAATTAGATCAAAGTAATCTGAATTATTAAAAGCATGAAGAAAGAGAGAGAAAATATGATCTGCAAATGAGTTTGATCCACTTTGGGGTTTTTTTAATGAAATGTAAACTTCATATAAATTACATAAACACGCAACATATGAGACTTGGAACTGCTCCTTTAAAACTTTTATTAGCAATTTAAGTTTTACCTAGTTGATGCAGTGTGCTCCTTTTTTGGTTCAGTGTTAATTTTGGCTAATGAAACCTGGCTTTATCGTCACAGCAACATGTGCAAACATGCTTTATTTTTCTTCTCTAGGTGTGGGCGCTGCCAGTTCAGGTAAACTGACTTTCATGGTCGGAGGAGCGGAGGAGGAATTTACTGCAGCCAAAGAGCTTCTCAGCTGCATGGGAGCTAATGTGGTTTACTGCGGTCAAGTTGGAACGGGACAGGTGTGATTACCTTCCTAGTGTTGGTCCAGTTTCATGGAGTTTCCCTGTTCATAAAACAACCTTTTAGTAAGATAAATATGTATCGTATGTGTGTGATAGTCAGTTGTTGAGCAAGGACATTTTCTCACAAATGCCAATAATCTTGAGTATTTTGGTTTCTAAATTCTTTCATGTGCTCATGTGATTACAGGCTGCAAAAATTTGTAACAACATGCTTTTAGCCATAGGAATGATTGGGACCTCAGAGACAATGAACTTGGGAATCAGGTAGATGATGATGATAATAATAATAATAATAATAGTAATAATAATAAAAATTGAACTGGATAATTAAGTATGTTCATAAGTAGCTGAAATATAATTCCTGCAGCACATTCTCTTCACCCACAGACTTGGACTAGATCCAAAACTTTTGGCCAAAATATTAAACATGAGTTCAGGCCGCTGCTGGTCCAGTGACACCTACAACCCAGTGCCAGGAGTCATGGAGGGAGTCCCATCTGGAAACAACTACCAGGGAGGTTTTGGCACACAGCTGATGGCTAAGGTCAGCTTATTCACCACGCATTCACAAATAGGTGGGGGGGGGGGCTGTTTTTATGGTTAATTTGGTAAACTAGATGCTGGGTTTGAGCTGTGGGGTCATATATGTTAAATTTAAATAATTATTTTTTGTTTGCCTTCTCACAACTTTCTGCAACAAGCAATCATACATGGTCTTTTTAAGTCAGAAATTGAATGAAAACTGATCTGATGAGATGTAATTATGTAACAGCTCCTATATTTTTATATTTTGAATCTTTCCACAATTCGACACACAGATTATTTCAAGCTATTGTTTGATTAGAAACGTTTACCTAGTATCAAATTTATAACTCAACCCTGGTGTGTTAAAACAACCTGACTGAATCAGTGCATGTTTCACCACAAAGTTACCAAAATAATACAAACGGGGTTATTTGTAATATATCTGTATAGTTCTTTATATATATATATATATATATATATATATATATA